AGAGAAGCAAGGAAAAGTATGGAAGTTTTAGTTTAAAATAAAAACTGGTCTGTCATGTAGTGTGTTGATTGAGCCCGTTGTAGAAATAATTAGGACAGGAGAAAGCCATCTTATCTGCCTGCTGATAGTCTCTGTGGAAAGGAGACACTTACAGAATGCATTGGGAATTTTAATAAATGGAAAACCGGGAGATGACCCTCAGCAAGTAAAGGTGCTTGCTGCCCAGTGTCACAAGTCTGCTGACCTGAGTTCAAGTCTCAGAACCCATGTAAAGGTGGAAGGAATAAACCATCTCCACAAAGTTGTCCTGACCTCCACACTCACACCCGTATACACAATAATAAATAAATAAATGCTCTTAAAAACAAAAGCTAGAAACTTTTCATAGGGGGCTAAAGAGATGGCTCAGGTTAAGAGTCCTTACTGCTCTTCCAGAGGACCTGGGATAGGCTCCTCGCACCAACATCAGGCAGCTCAACAGCCGGTCGTAACTCCAGCCCCAGAGATCCAACACCCTCTTCTGGATACTTCAGGCACCCATACAGGAGTGGTATATGCTCATGCAGGAGCACACTTGTACACGTGGATAGAAACATTAAAATCTTTTCTTAAAAAAGAAAGAAAAGAAAGATCTCTCCTACAACACTGATCTTTCACTGGGTGGTTGGTGGCCCACACTTTGATCCCAGCATTCGGGAGGTTGAGGCAAGCAGATCTCTCCGAGTTCCGGGACAGCCCAGGCTACATAGAGAAACTCTGTCTGGGGGAGGGGAGTATTGTTCTTCCATATGCACCCACTGTTTAACATAGCACCTTGAAACTGTAAACCAATAAAGTAAAGCTGCATAACTTGGTGCCCCTCACTGTGTATTATTCCTGGGTGTAGGGTTCTCACTGTGCATGCCAAGCTGGCCTTGAGTTCACTGTGTAGCCCATACCCCCAATCTGGCCTCAGCTCCTAGCAATCTCCCTGCCTCAGCCTCTCCAGGGCTGGCATTTTAGGCATGTGCCCACATGCCTGACTTGTAATATTGTTAAGAGGGGAAACTAAGTTATACACTGACTTAGATCTCTTAAGGCGGTGATTGGAAAGACACAGCGGGACCTTGCAGATAGCTACATCAGTAGGTTTTAAACATACACAAACCTAAACATTGTAGTTTCTTAGAAGCAATCCAGGAGAACTCAGGAAGATTTTCAGAGAGGAAAGATAGATGAGGTAGCCCAGGAGGAGAACTCACAGACTTTTGGAGAACAGTAGATTGGGTTGCAGTCAAGAAGGACTTCAGTTTATGTATACAGTTAAAATTTTAGGAGTGCTGGGATATAGAGGTGTATTACCATACCCAGTTACATGGTGCTGGGCCTTGAGCTTGGCTGCCTGCATACTGGGCACACACTCCACCAACTGGACATCTTACCCAGCCCTTCTCTTCGTGGCTTACTCATCCCTTACTTCCTCCCTTCTCTTGGTGCTCCAGTTTCTTCCCTTACATTACTTCCTGCCCCAGACTCAAGGCCTATTTGAATCAATTTCTGCATTCTGTTCTTTCTTAAAACAAGGCTCTTTGCAACTGTCTTCGCTCTGAGCCACTTCTGTCCTCCGTCTCCTCTGGTGCACTCGGGTATTTCAGTGTCATTTGCACACTCGGGTATCTTAAGTGTCATTTGCACACTCGAGTATTTCCGTGTCATTTGCACATTCGGGTATTTCAATATCATTTGCATTCTGTCTCCTGACTCTTGTATCTCTCCTTACTTTTTACCTCTATTGCTTGACTTAAATTTCACCTGCTGAAAGTACACGTAACTTCTAATGTCCCCTCTCTGTGCTGAGGATTGGACCCAGAACCTAGCTAATACGTAAGGCAAACGCTCTACCCCTGAACCTCCATCTCCTAATGACTTCTAATTAGATTACCTGAGTACCTTACTTTTGGTGCTGGTGCTGGTGGTTTCTTGAGATAGGGTGTTGCTGTGTGTAGCTGACAGGCATCAGACACAGCAGACTGCCTCTCACGGCTTCCCAATTCCTAAGACTATAGGCCATTTATGTATATGGGTGTTTTGCTGAGTATAGGTCATGTGTGCATTCCTAGTGCTGGTGTAGGCCAGAAGAGAGCACTAGATTCCCCTGGAACTGGAGTTACAGACAGTTGTGTGTAGCAGGAATCTTAAAAAGTCTTATTAATGAATTCAAACCTGGAGCCAGGTATTGGGGTGAATGCTGGAAGATCAGAGAAGCAGAACAAGCCACAGCTTCCTCACCTCACCAATTCCTCAGCTGATCCTGTTTCCTCAGACTGGAAGCCTCTGTGTCCTCATCCAGAATGAATCTCAGCTGAACTGCTGCTCAAAAGCCTAAAAGCTTAACCAGCTCTAGTTCCTGGTCCTCACGACTTATACACCTTTCTGCTTTCTGCCATCACTTCCTGGGATTAAAGGCATGAATCACCATGCCTGGCTGTTTCCACTGTGGCTTTAAACTCACAGAGATCCGGATGGATCTCTGCCTCCCAAGTGATAGGATTAAAGGTGTGTGCCACCATTTTCTGGCCTCTATGTCTATCTAGTGGCTGTTCTGTCCTCTGACCCCAGGTAAGTTTATTAGGGTGCACAATATATTGGGGAATACAATATCACCACAGTTGTGAGCCACGATATGGGAGCTGGGAAGAGCAGCCAGTACTCTTAACCACTGAGCCGTCTCTCCAGCCCCTCATCTCACTTTTTAAACTTCTCTTTCCTTGGTGGCATTGACAGTCTTGTCTTAATCCTGCTCAGCCCCACATCATTTTTTCCTTCTACATTCTTAAATGTTTAAAATTATTTTCTGTGATTTCCATGGTATGTGTTTAGAATCTGTTGTAGAACATTTCACGACTGTATTGTAATAGTGTTGTGTTTTGCCCTTTAGACTTTCTGGGGGTGGTTTTGTTTTATTTTGATGGTTGGTTGTGTTTGAGGGAGGGGTTGTTTGTTTATTTTATAAAATTACATTTATTTATTGTGTTTCTGGGAACCGATAGCAAGTACTCTTAACCACTGAGCGTGCCAGTACATTTTTAAAAAAGCTGAATACACTTACGTGATTTCTCTTTTCTGGTTGTCCTCACTGAGTATTATAGCAGTGTGGAAATTTGTTAATTCTGATAAGTATTGCACATAACAAGGATCTTTCTGTTTTGTGTGTGAATCTCCCCCTTCCATGGCATGAGAGCTGTTATTTAATCTCTTCCAACTGTGCCCCCCAGTATCCAGAACCTCTAAAGCACTCACGGGTGTTTGTCACATGAAGAATGAGTTCAGACCCGTTGAGTCTTACTTGAATATTGTCAGTTCTCGAGAATAGATGCCAGTTATTAATGTGTTTAGAAGAGAGACTTAACTAATAAAGTAACTCTCACTGTTATAACTCATCCAGTCACATTATTTACATCTCTGGGAACTGCTTGTTCTTCAGACAGGAAGTCATGGCTTTGTGTTTGCTTTCGTATTTGTATAAAGGAAACCAAGTGACTGGCTGTGCCCCTCTGTCCACATGTATTCGTGTAATAAAACCAATTTTCCTATTTTAATTTTTAAAATAACAGATAGTTTTATTTTATGTGTATGGGTGTTTTGCCTACATAGATGTCTGTGCACCATAATAGCATGCATTACCAGGGAAGCCAGGAGAAAGTATAACTCCCCGGAACTGGAGTTAGAAAGAGCTGCCATGTGGGTGCTGGCAGTAGAGCTCAGGTATTTCTGAAGAGCATCCAGTGACCTTAGGGTTGAGCCTTCTCTCCACCCCCACCCCCATATTAATTTTCAGTGAATGTTTTGTCTTGATATCCTTTCTAGTCAAGGTCAGGTGTCATTGTCTGCATTCCCCAACTGGATAACAGTGAGATGTTTGTATCAGAAGAAAATCCAAAGCCTGCAGATCCTTTCCCTTTACTCCCACCCCACTGTGAGATCGAACCCAAGACCTCACAAATGCTAGGCAGGCTCTTTCTCTCCCACTGAGGTTACTCGAGCCTTAAGTATTAAACAGTGCAGTGTTGCTGGTCCATACCTCCTAGATACTTAATAGAAAGTATGTTTCCCAGACTGTCCCACTGAGGGCTTTTATGAGCATCTGTCAGAATTACACTTCTTTCAGAATGCATTTCCTACCCTATTTCTCCTATGGGCTTCATTTTTATTTTTTTTTAAGATTTTTATTTATTATTATTTATACAATGTTCTGTCTGCATGTATGCCTGCAAGCCAGAAGAGGGCACCAGATCTCATTACAGATGGTTGTGAGCCACCATGTGGTTGCTGGGAATTGAACTCAGGACCTCTGGAAGAGCAGCCAGTGCTCCCAATCTCTGAGCCATCTCTCCAGCCCTATGGGCTTCATTTTTATTGGGGATTTGTTTTACTCTGTGTGTGGGGGGGTGGGGGATGGTGGTGGTGGGGTGGTGGTGGTTGCTGTTTGAGACAGGGTCTCACTTTGTAGCTCTGGCTGTCCTGGAACTCAATCTATAGTTCAGACTAGCCTCAAACTCACAGAGATCCATCTGTGTCTGCCTCCCCAGTGCTGGGATTAAAGACATGCATCACCATGCCCAACTTTGTTTTTCAAGGTTTTTGGTTTTGGTTTTTTTTGTTTTTATGGCTTTTAGAAAAAATGTTCACCATCTTCCTTTTCTCTGTTTTCCAAATTAACCATCCTTTAAATTTTTTATTAAACTTATTTTTAATTTATGCATATACAGACTAATAAATCTAAAACAAGCTGACTTCAGACTAGAGAGATGGCTTAGCCATTAAGATGCACACATATGCTCTTCCAGAGGACTCCAGTTCAATTCCCAACACCCACAGCAGTCAGCTCACAGCTGCCTGCAACTCCAGTTCCAGAGGATCATATGCCTCCTGGAACATGCACTCATGTGTGCATACAAAGACACATACACATAACCAACAATAAAATAAATCATTTATAAAAACCTTAGCTTCAGACTTACATATTTAAAAGGAGCTCACGTGTGGTGGTAGCTCGGTGGTGGCACACGCTTGGTACGCTTAGTCACCAGCCCTGAAAAAGGAGCTCGCTGCATGTGACCGAGGAGGAATCCTCTTCTAGCTGGGTGACTCTGAGAAGGGCGGACTGAGCTCTGCACCTGTCAAATGAGTGGAATGTGATTTGTATTTATTTATTTATTTTGAAGCTGGACCTCACTATGTAGCATTGGCTGGCCTGGAACTCAGAAAACCACTGGCCCCTGAGTGCTGGGATTAAAGGTGTGTGCCACCACACCTGGCTGTAATGTAATTCGTCTGAACTAATACTTCTAAATCACGTACATGTACTCACACAGCCTGGCCAGCACGGGTGTGAGGCGGTCAGAGGAGAGGATAACTTCTGGGAGTTGGTTCTTCTCTTCCACTATGCAGGTCCCCAAGGATCAAACTCAGGTTGTCAGTGTTGGCCTTGGCTGTAAGTACCTGCACCCACTGAGCCCTGTACTTTTCAGTACACAGTGAGTGAGTAAAAGAGCCCGAGTACATTTCTAGTAGAAGGGTTTTCAGGCTTATAGGATTAACTTAAGGTGTCACAGAGTCTGTGGCTTAGTCCCACTGTATAGCACTCCAGAGGGAGTTTGGGGTCATGTACCTCCCCACCGTCACCACCACCTTACCATATTTCCTGTGATTCATTAAGTCCCTGATTGTCCCATTTATCTGCAGAACCCACCCACTTCCAGGGTTGGCCTTTCCTTCCTATTCCTTATGAGTTTAAAGTCTGTGTCTTAGAAAATTCTGATCAAATAAACCGTAGCTGGTGTTCTCTAAACATGAGTGATGCTGTTTAGAAAACATTAAACAGGCAGAGGCTGCTGCCCCTTGCTGATGTTGAGTCTGTCCTCATCTCCTTGAAGACTGAGAACCGTGCGTCCCGTGCTCAAATCCTCTGCCACTGCCACTGCCCACAGCACAGCACAGCATATGCTCTGCCCAGCAGACGTGACGTCCTCAATAAATGCATGCAAAGCTTGTGTTCTGGGAACTGTCCCCAGACTCCAGAATATTTTGGTTATCTGTTTTTTGTTTCTTTCTTTTGTATATTGTATATTTGATCTACAACCAAACCTCCTTTAGTTTGCAGGCTTTTGTAACATTTGTTAGTTTAAAATAAAATCATAATGCCTTTTTATTAGAATTTGTATATTTCTTTTACTGTAAATTGTTGGAAAGCAGAGTCAGGAGTCGGCCCTCCGAGAGTCTTCATTCTGTTCAGTGTCATTTACGACTGAGGCTTACTACAAAGTAGATTTGCCTTGTGACATAGGGGACACCCACTTCTATTCTAACTCAGGAGGAAAGTCCTTGAAATAACCCTCACTGCTTACTCTCAGTGCTCTGCAGTGGTTTCTCTTCTGGTTTTTAGGCAGGGAGGAGGGACGGAGATGAGCCCAGTTTTTGCTCTATGCTGTGCAAACTTTCAGCTCCCCTGTCTCACCAGTTAGGGCCTAATCAGTTGAAACCCCTTCCTGCTAGGGTCTGGGAAACGTCAGCGTACCAGCCAACATGGTCAGTGCCACTTTCTCTTCTTACTCACTACACATTAGCTTCGTGACTGTGAGAAAGTTGTATGCTACTGTTTCACCGCTTCTAAAAGAAACGGAGACAGTAGTAGTGACGGCTAATTTAGAGGAAGATTGTGCTGGACATGGTGGTGCACACCTGTAGTCCCAGCACTCGGGAGGCCAGGGCAGGAGAATCTCACATTCTAGACCAGCCTGAGCCACATTGCCAGGCCTGACTCGAGCGAAGAGAAAAGAGAAATGTTAGGATTAGGTAGAGATATGGAAACTCAGCATGCTGCTTTCCGGTACTAAGCATTTGGATGTTGGCATCTCTGCTGTTCCTGCTGCCGCTGTTAAAATGACTTTGAGGGTCCAGCAAAATGGCTCAGTGAATAAAGGTGCTTGTCGTCAATCCTGACGACCTCAGTTCGATCCTTGGGACCCACATGGTAGAAAGATAGAGAAAACTGACTCCTGCAGGTTGTCCTCTGACCTCTGCACAAGCTCTTTTTGGCATATGAACGAGCACTCACGTGTGTGTGTGTGTGTGTGTGTGTGTGTGTGTGTGTGTGTGTGTGTGCATGAGTGTGCATGAGTGCATGCTTTCTCATATACAAATAACACAAGCAAGGGGCGGGGGTGCTAAATTCAATAGATACCAGTCAGGACAGTGAGATCTTTCTGTAGCTGCTGCTGGAACATGGCCTGAGAATAGCAGATGCTGGGAACGGTGAGACCTGAATGCTTCCTTGGTGCTGATGAGGGGAATAATGTGATAGACCCAATCTGGAGATTCTCATAGACTTAGACAAGTAACTGGCTATAATTACAAAAGAAACAAAGCATTTCATCTACAAATAGCTCTTACTCGATGGTCTATAGCAGCTTTATTCATAGAAGAACCCAACTTAGTAGAATCAAATGTCAGTCAAGAGAATAAATAAATGCAGTATATTCACACAGCATACAACACACGATTAAAAAGTACAAATTGCCGACATGCCACTGATAAGCGTGAACTTCATTATACTGAGAACAGAAAAGGCCAGATACAAAAGAATGTAGTATGTGCAGCTGTTTAGATGAAGCTGTAGAACAGACGAAACTACAGTGGTAAAAGACTTCAGAACAGGGGTTGTCCCTGGAGGAGGGAGACTGCTGGCTGGAAAGGGGCACGGGATAACTTCTGCTGAGGTTAAGAACGTTCTGTGATTTAACAGGGATGTGGGTAACAGGATGTGTATGTTTTGTGGTGTCTGCACACATGTGGGGACCAGGGAGTGGGTGCACCAGGGGTCTTTCTGGCACTCTCCGCTTTATTCCCCGGGACAGGACCTCTCCCTGAACCTAGGGTTAGCTGGCAGTCAGCAAACGTCAGAGACCCCTGCCTCCACCCACTAGCACCCTCAGTGCCGGGGGTACAGGGCCATGGGAGGCCACCCCCAGGTCTTCATGCTTGCGCAGAAGTACTGGTACCCAGAGTCATCTCTCCAGCCCTGCACTGAGCCCTAACGCGAGCTTCTTGGGTTTTCTTGGATTTTCTCCTCCAGTCCATGGTCGGTGTGTTTTTAATGTGTGATATTAAGCAGCCATTGACTTGCACTGCATTTTAGGGGATGTGCGATCACGTGGCAGAAAGATGAAGAACTGGAGTTGTAGTTGGTGGTTGTCTAGGAGGTCCTGCGTTCCATGAACATGTCCTATTCTAATGAGAGGTGGTCAGGGGAGAGGCTGTGGGCATGTGGCAGTGGGAGTAAACGAGAAATCTCTAACTTGTTCAGTGAGAGAAGATAAAACTTGTGGGAAAGATGAAAGTATTTTTTTCAGTGTACCTTGAAATCCTTAATTTATGTTCGGGAGTATTTACCCTTTATCTGTTCTTTCTTTTCTGGTGAACTCCCATACACATTTTCTTCCCCACATCAAAAAGGTGAGCATATGGGTCCAGGTCAGAAAGTACATAGAACTCACGTCAGCCACATTCCTGGAGGGAAGGGATCTGACGTCAGGACAGACATACTCCAGGTTTCCTTTGGTTTCATCAAAACTTTTCAGACTTTAGAATTTGGGTGTTGACACTGTTCTTTGCAGCTACACTTAGAGCTATTTAGATTAAATCCACTCTCAGTCCTGAATAGAGTTTAGAACACTTTAGTCAAATAATAATAAATAGTCGTCTATCTTATGTAAATAATTGCTTTTATAAATATCTGTGTCTGAAGATTGCTTTGAGGGGATGTTTGAAGTCCATCCTACTTCAAAAGCAGTTGAAATATTTTTTTAGAGGGGGTGGTGGTGGCACAATACCACAGCATTCTTGTAGGGCCAGAGGATGACTTGCAGGAGTGGACTCTCCTTCCATGTGGGTCCTAAGGATCAAATTGAGGTCACTAGGCTTGTTGTTAGTTTGTTTTGCTTTATTTTGAGGCCAGGTCTCACGTAGCCCAGGCTGGTCCCAGACTTGCTATTTAGCTGGACGTGACCTTGAATTTCTGATCCAGCACCTTCACTTCCTAAGTACTGGGACTGCAGACATGCTCTACCACACCCAGCTTCATGCTGTGCTGGAGATGGAACCTGGGGCTTCATCTGAAGCCTGCTAGTCCAGCTCTCTGCCGACTGAGCTATCCCTGACCAACTCCTTAGATTTGGGAACTACTTCTTGTCCAAAGAATACAGGGACTGACTTCCTGCCCGAGACTGGACTACGCATACTCCTGTGCCGTTGCACACATACTAGAAAGGTAGAGGAGGAAACTACCTTTATTTCTTGGGTTTGGGGGGTGCTTGGAACAAAATCTGCCTTTGTGGCTCAGGCTGCCTTGAAACCCTGAGTGTGCCAGCCTTAGTCTGAACGCCTGGCTCTTTCTCTTTGAAGTCAGTGATAACACAGCTGGGACTTTGGAGACTAAGTATGGCAGGCTCCAAGGCTGTTCTGTGATGTTATTTTAAGCTTTCTCTAGGGATGTGTTTCCTCCAGCCTGTGAAGTGAAAATAAATGAGTAATAGATGGCTAGTGTGTTCTGTCTGTTGATAACACCTCTGTCATCCAGTCTGTCTAGCAAGCCAATTGTTTTCCTTTTTTGAAATTAAAGGCCAGGGTGTTTTCTGACAGTGTAGGAATTTCTGTTCACCGAAAGTTTATATTGTCACTTAAAGCCAAAATGCTGAAACAGAACATTGATTGATTTTTAGCTTTATCACTAAATTTCTCCAAAACTCAAACCCAAGATCACACCCAGGCACTCATGAACATTCTTAATATAGCTGAAATATCATTAAACTCAATGTTGAGAGTTTGGGCCTTCAAACTTTACCCTGAAATGTAATGTTAGTGGCCGCATATCTTGTCCCCTGCCTGTGGCTAGCCTCTGAAGGGCCACAGCTCACTGGAGAGTAAGCACGCCTCCTGATACTCATACCTTGTGTGGTCCCATCTGGAATGTTCCAAGGTTGGTCTTGATCACCTGCATGCTGTACACTGTGGGAAGCTGGCACTTACGCCATGGCGTCAGGTGATTAGAACCTCTTAAGATCCTTATCTAGAACCAGCCAGCTGACCCCTCATCCTAGATTCCTAACCATCAGATGCC